TAACAGATACCATCCTGTCTTGAAGGTACTTCCTTCTTGGCTGCAGTCTTAGAATTGATTGTGTGACCTCTAGTCTTTTGATTGGTTGTGTAATGTTATTAGAAGGGCCCCTTTGTCTGTAATTGATTCCACAAGATAAAATGCTAACTTTAATCCTTAATTACAGTTTCACAAAATGCCAACTCAGACATAACAGTTTTATCAGAAGAAATTCAGGCCAGATTGATTGTTGGTTCTGTGATCAAAGGCCATTGCAAACACCAAGTTTACTGATGGAGTACAAAGTTTATTCCTAAATGCTTTGCACTCTCCCCACCAGATGAAGAGAAAGACTCCTTTCCTGTATATGTCTTCTGTTGTGACTTACTACTTTACTGCTTTGAGATTTTGGGAGTTTGAAAGCATTTAGCTAATGATCATTCCAAACTGTAGGTAATTACTAGACTTGGAAATGTATAGCCAATATTTTAAAGACTTTTCAAACAATCATTCTTAGGAAATTAGATTTCATTTATAAAAAAAAAAAAATGCTATAAGTGAGGCTGGGGCTAAACAGCTCAGTTGGGAGAATGCTTGCCTAGCATGCCTGAGAGAACCCTGAAAACAGCATGTGGTGATACTGCTTATAATGCCACCAATCTAGAGATGGAGTAGGAGGATCAGAAGTTCGAATTATAATTGGCCTCTGCTTTTATGAAAGCACATCTACAAGGCAGCCCATTCTCAGGGCCTCTCTCTGCTGCCGGGAGCTGTCAGTAAAACCTTGCTTGCCCTCATGTGCACACACGCAAGCTCACACACATTTGCCGCTCGGGTAACTAGGAAATTTCCAATGTTGAGTAACAGTGGCAAACTTAGCATGACTTGATCAGAGCATTAAGCTTTAGCTCTGGTAGAAAGTTGAGATTTCTGCCCGAGTTATAGGAAACTCAGAGGTTTGGTCTCAGAAGGAGGCAGATGTGGAGATGGGTTCTTTGTTAATTCCACCAAATCAGAGCAAAGACCACCACCCAAACTCTTTGGTCAAAACAAACAAGTTTTATTTTCTGTCAAGCGGAGCTATCTCCCTGAAATAGGGTTTGAGAAAACAACATTGAATGTAGGAAAAACTGGGGCTTATATAGCCCAGAAAACTTCAAAGCTAGGGGGTTTCCGAGGGTTTTGGGTTACAAAGGAACTTGGCAGAGTATTTCAAAATTATTTGGCAGAGCATCTTATCATGGTGGAGGTTAGTGTATCAAGTGTGGAACATGTCAAATTCCAAAAAATGGGTCAAAATCTGGTCAAATCCAAGTTTTACAGAAAACAAACATGAACTTATTTTGACCTTGTAACAAGGTGGCTTTTAATCTTTAAGATGGAGTCAAGTTGGTCCCTCGTCTTTCTTAGCCCACTTTTGCTTTGATTGATTGAGACTAACCTTTAGGTTCTAAATCACCTCTTTTTATGTATTGCCAATTTTATCAATAAAAAGTGAAAAGGATTTTTATTTTAAGTTTTTTCAGATTTTTGTGTTTGTTTGTTTGTTTGTTTGTTTGTTTGTTTTGAGACAGGGAGGATCTCACTAGCCTTGGGTGTCCTGGCACTTACTTTGTAGACCAGGTTGGCCTTGAACTCAGAATTCTGTCTGTATCTGCTGGGATCAAAGACAAGTTCTCCATGCCTGGCATAAGTATATTTTGTTAATAGAATGCAAACTGCAGAATCTGCTGCAATTAGTTCTACACAAGTAAGTAAAAGTAGACAGTTCCAAAGTAATTATAAATAATCAAGTTACGTATGTATGCTGAACATGGTTACTAAGAGAACTTCAAGGTTCTGTAGTTTAGCTTATCACTCTGGGAACAGTGGCAAAGGCAGGAAGAAAACAGTGATACATAGAACATGAAATTACCAAGATGTAACACAGTGATATTTATCATAGCAGGAAGAAAAAGTGAAGCTGTATAAATCCCTGCCAGTGTGAGAATTGCCCAGAAGTGTAGGTCCGTTCACACTAGTGATGTTAGAGGACATGCGCACGCCCACAGGCCAGCTTCAGGCATTTGTTTTAGCATTCTCCAGGCTGGGTTTTTGTTTTGTTTTTGTTTTTTGTTTTTTGTTTTTTTGAGACAGAATATCTCTGGATTTGGAGCTGGTCAGTCGAGCAAGACTCCAGGGTCTTCTATCACGTCCTTTCCAGCACTGGGACACCTCCCTGGCCCCAGTATCTTTTTTCTGATACAGTCTCATAGTGGGCTGGCCTGACCTATAACTCACAAAATCCCCTGCCTCTGCCTATCAGATCCTAATAAAGGTGTGCACCACCATCCCCAGCCCAAGGCTTGCCTTTTTAACTGTGGATTTTCTCTTAGGAAATTAATTATAAAAGTATATACTTGTTAGAATTCAAGTAGTACAAGAGTGTGTTTAATACAGCTTTTCAATGTGTTCTGATCTCCCAATAGAGCATCATGAAAAAAGTAAGCTTATTTTCTAAAATTAGGTCTGTCTGGTTTTGCTCTGTACCCTTTTCACACAGCACTTTCCCATAGTTGTCTTGGCATATTACACATGAACACTAGCCACTACAGGGAGATTAATAGTGCCACAGTCATTGTACAGATTAAATGAGCCAGTGTACCATGATTAGTACCATACATGTAGTGAACACTCAGAAAACATCAGCTGTTTTGTATTATTGGAAAGCTGCCACAAAAAGCAGAGCTCAGGCCATGAACTGAGACCTAGAGTCCGAAGGTTGAATTTAGCAGGAAGTCTGGGAAACCAAAGAGCATAGCAGAATTTAAAGACCTGGAGCCTCTTGCAGTGTGCTTTTAACCATGTGCACAAGCAAAGGGAGCCTCTGATGAGTAGATCACCAGGTAGGACAAAAAAAAGGAAGTGTGGTAGAAACATGCAGGAAGTTAACAAGACGAGAAGTAGCACATTCCTTCGTCCTTGAGCTGGAAATGGCTGTAGTGCAAATCATTTCCCTCTGTCCTTGGTGTGCTGTGGGGCAAAGTGCTCTTGGACAGCGAATGTGTTTCTTTCCTCAGATGAGGCTTTTAGCAACAGCAGTGAAGGCCAAAAGGATACACTTTGGTAAATTACTCTTTAATTTTTAAGTTTTTATTTGTAGTTGCTGGGTATGTGCACATGAGATCATATTTGGAGGTCAGAGGCATTAGAGCCCCTTGAACTGCAGTTGTAGGCAGTTATGAGTCATCAGACGTAGGAACTGGAAACTGAACTTTAGTCTTCTACAAGACAGTGAGCACTCTTGACCACTGAGCCATCTATTCAGGCCCTAAATAGTTGCTTTATTAGTTCTTTTACTTTGAAACCTATAATAAAAACAACCAATTTCCATTTCCTAAAGATTATTGAGTCATCAACTCATAACCCTTTTCTACAGAGCATTTTTAATAACTAAATAACTAGTACCTTTTTGTTTTGGAGAGAATAATCTAACCCTTTGAACTTTTTTACCTCAAAAGTTCGTATGTACCCACATGCAATTTAGTGAAAAGAATAAAGATTGCTTAGGGTTTGATCCTTAAGAACCACAATGAGGGCTGGAGCAATGGTTTCATACTTTAGAGTACATGTTGCTCTTTCAGAGGACCCAGACAGACCATCCATAATTCTTATTCCAGGGGATCAGATGCTCTCTGTCCTCCATAGGTACCAGACACATGCATGCATACATACGTGCATGCCGACCAAACACTCATTCAAAAGAAATAACATAAGCCTGGTAGTGGTGGCAGCTGTGCATGCCTTTACGTTTAATCCCAGCACTCGTGAGGCAGATCTCTGAGTTCAAGGCCAGCCTTGTCTACAGAGCAAGTTCCAGGACAGCCAGAACTATGCAGAAAAACCCTGTCTCAAAATAAAATAAATAATAAAGCCTAAAAAGAGAAAAGGACCACATGCTTTGTTTAGTGCCAGCAAGATGTCTCAGTGGGTTAAGCCAGTTGGTGCCATGCCTTACAATGCAAACTCGGTCTCTAGGAGCAGCATGGTGGAAGGCCTGACTCTGCAGATTGTCCTCTGAACTCTATTTGCATACTGTAGCATGTGTGTGCCTAGGCTCACACAAGTAAGCTAATGAATGTAATTTAAAACTTAAAAGGAAAAAAGAACTACATGACTTAATTTGATTCTCACAACAGCCTCAACAGTGAATAATATTATAATGGCTTTTAGTAGGTTTGCTTAACTCACTGTAAGTACAAGATAAAGGGGAGAGTTCTTACTGGAAAGATATATTATGCCATAGGGATTCAGAAGAGATATTTTTAAGAGGTCTTGAAATTGAGAAAAATTTTTATCAACTATTATATAATAAAAACTACATATTAGCAACACTTACCAAGAGTATACTATATTCTAATTATTCTGTATCAGAATATTTAATGTTTCAATATTTATTTCAATATGTATTTAACATATTGAAATTTCAGGGAAACTTTGACTACATTATAGCACATAATAATGTTTTATAAGAGGCTAAAGATACGGCTTGGCCATTAAGAGCATTGGCTGCTCTTACAAAAGACCCAGGTATAGTTTCCAGTATCCACATGGTGGCTCACAACCACCTGTGATTACAATTCCAGGGGATCTAACACCTCCTTCTGGCCTCTTGAGGGGACCAGCACACACATGGAACACAAAACAACCATACACATAAAAATAAATAAAATAGATATTTTTAAAATAATGCTTGATAAACATGCGATTAGATGAATAAAAGAAGGAGCCAAAGATTTATATAAAACCTTACAGGGTCATAATCATAATTTTTCAAATGTAGTCACATTTGACTACAATATGCAGTAAAATGAAAACCTGGATTATCTTAATTCTTTGCATTCTGTGTCATCAATTAAAGAAGTAATCATAGATGTCTCCATCTGATATTGATGATTTTAAGTACTGTGACAGTGCAGCCATTCAAAGCATCAAGTGATCAACTGTCTTTTTTTTTTTTTTTTTCTTAATGCCATTTCTAGGGGAGGTGACACCAGGACTATCTCAGGTGGAATATGCACTTCGAAGACACAAATTGATGGATCTGATCCACAAGGAAGCACAAGGGCACAGTGGAACAGACCACACAGTGGTGGTACTCTCTAACCCTACATACTACATGAGCAATGACATCCCCTACATATTCCACCAAGACAACAATTTCCTGTATCTGTGTGGATTCCAAGAACCTGATAGCATTCTGGTCCTTCAGAGCTGCTCTGGGAAGCAGTTACCATCCCATAAGGCCATGCTTTTTGTGCCTCGAAGAGACCCTGGTCGAGAACTGTGGGACGGTCCTCGGTCTGGCACAGATGGAGCAATAGCCCTAACTGGGGTGGATGAAGCCTACACCCTGGAAGAATTTCAACACCTAGTACCTAAACTGAAAGGTAACCCTAGTAAAGTCAAATCACAGGCCAAGTTGGAAATCCAGCCTTCCTTGGCCTGTAGTTCTTAATTTTCTAAAAATAATTCTCCTGGTAGCTTTTCTTTGGGCATCATGAAAAGAGACATGTCTTTTATAAAAAGCAAAACTATTGCTAAATATGGTGGCACATGTTGTATCCTAACACTCAGGGAAACTGAGACATGGGGCTTTCTAAAAGGTTTGTTGTTGGTGGTTGATTGGTTGGTTGGCTGGATTTTCGAGACAGGACTTCTCTGTGTAACAGTCCTGGCTGTCCTGGGACCTGCTTTGTTGACCAGGCTGGCCATAAACTCACAGAGATCCACCTGCCTCTGTCTCCTGAGTGCTTGAATTAAAGGCATTGCCAAATTCAACTTTTTTTTTTTTTTTTAATACAGGGTTTCTGGCATTAAAGGCTTGTGCAATCATGCCCAGCTAATCCAGTATTCTAAGTGTTAGTAGTTTGATGGGTAAAAGTACCAGATACTAAAAGTATCAATAGCTGAATCTAATAAATTTATTTATAGGTTTAAAAAAAACTGCACTGAAGTTGTATCTTATTGTGCATCACTTACCCAGCATGTATCTGACCTCAGTTTCTAACTTCAGCACTGTCATGTAAAACCAATCCAATAAATGTTGAGCTTTGATTTTATACAATGAAAATAAGTAATAGAGATGCTTTTATTTTTTCATATAATTGAGGCAAATACTATTATACTTTAGTACTTCCCATGCAGTGTACATTTAATAGCATTTTTATTTATAAACTGTTGGGCCTGCAACATAATATAAACCAGTCAGAATTTCCTCATTTCTTCCTTGTTGTATCCCAGTATACTTTTTCTTGTTTGATTTTTGTTGTTATTGTTTGATTTTTGTTTTGTTTTCAAGACAGGGCTTCTCTGTATACCTTTGGCTGTCCTGGAACCCACTTTGTAGACCAGGCTGTTCTTAAACTCATAGAGATCCACCTGTCTCTGCCTCCAGGAGTGCTGGGATTAAAGGTGTGCGCCACCTTTAAGCCTGGTCCTCTTGCTTCCACCTCCCCATGCTGTGATTATCGTACTTAGGACAGTGTTAGTTTATTGTATATTACTGCTTGGTGCTGCAGACTGAACCAGGGGCCTTATAACTGCTAAGCACACATTCTCCCACTAAGGTATACCTTCAGCCTCTGCTGGTTCCAAATTACTTTTTACTTCCTTTTTTAAGCTGAGACGAGCATGGTTTGGTATGACTGGATGAAGCCTTCTCATGCACAGCTTCACTCTGACTACATGCAGCATCTAACTAAAGCCAAAGCCAGGAGCAAGAACAAGGTTCGGAGTGTCCAGCAGCTGATACAGCGCCTCCGGCTAGTTAAATCTCCTGCAGAGATTAAGAGAATGCAAATTGCTGGGAAACTGACATCAGAGGTATGGCTACTATTGAAACTATTCCTTTGTCATATCACAAAACTCAAGTGCTTCATGGTCAAGAGGCCTGTGAAAGTCATATTGTAGTGACCTCATAGGTTGAATCTACCCAATTTCTGCAATATGTTTAGTGAATATATCAAGACTTGCTCAATGCCTTGCAAGGCAAAATAAATCTGCTTCTTTGAAGATTGATATTCATTAATGTTAGTTTCTCTTTGGAACAAAAACTTACTTAGACAGTTTTGGTTTCTGTAGAAGGTTCAGTATGCCCAATGATGGTGTTTACTAACCTAGTTCTACTTGGTGTTATTTGTTTCCAAGACAGGGTCTGTCTGTGTAGCCCTGGCCATCCTGGAACTCTGTGGACCAGGCTAGCCTTGAATTTAGAGATCCACCTGCCTCTCCCTCCTAGGTGCTGGAAACAAAAGTTTGTACCACTGCTGCCCAGACAATCCTTACCTCTTAAGATAAAATAGAAGGAAAAAAGACTTAGAGATAACTTAGAGTTAGGATTGCTTGCTGTGTAATCATGAGGACTGGAATGCAAATCCCAGCATGTATGTAACAAGCCAGAAATCCCACAAGCATCTGTCATTCCAGCTCTGAGGGATCCACACAGCATAGCTCAAACACCTCACATACCTGTGCACATATACAAACACAAAAAGTTAAAAATAAATTTCTTATTATTTTGAGTGTATGGGTATTTTTCCTGCATGTATGTCTGTGCACCATGTGCATGCAATGCCCAAGGAGGTCAGAAGATGAGGATCTCCTGGGACTAGAGTTAAAGATGTTGTGAGTTGCCTTTGGATTCTGAGGATCAATAGTGAGTACTCTGTAAAAGTAACAAGTGCTCTTGGTTGCTGAGTCTTCACTCCAGACCCTAAATAAATAATTGTTAAACAGATCTAGGTGGTGCTGGCAGGACCTAGGCAGGTGGATCTCTTTGAGTTTGAGGCCAGCCTGGTCTACAGAACCTGTTCCACAACAGCCAGGGATACACACAGAAACTCTGTCTCTGAAAAAATCAAAAAATAAATAAATAAATGTTAAATGGGAAGAGAGGCCAGGAAACAAAGAGAAAAATATCTGTCTGGCCAGCCAGGCAGTGGTGGCAAACACCTTTGATCCTTGCCCTCAGGAGGCAGAGGCAGGGGTAGTGCTGTTTTAGGTCAGCCTTGTCTACAGAGTGAGTTCCAGGACAGCCAGGGCTGACACAAAGAAACACTGTCTTAAGAGAGAGAAAGGGAGGGTGAGTGAGTCAGTCCATCAGGCTTAGGTCATAGTAACACTCAGGATTCAGTTGTAAAACAGTCTCCCTGACCATCCACTGTAGACTTTTGAACTATTAAAAATATTTGCCTTCAAGACACAGAGGTAACACTCGAGAACTCTGTGAGTTTGAAATCTGCCTGGTCTACATACCAAACTCCAGGACAGCAGGGATGCCTGGTGAGACCCTATCTAAAAAAAGTAAGACTACAGAATTAGATCTGCTAATTTTTTTCTTTGCCAAGTTCCTCTTACGTCTATTCCTCTGCAATAACAAAGCAAATAGCTATTTTACATATATTTCTAGAGAGGGAAGAGAGCAGTATATAACTTTTTTTAATTTTTTTTTTTTTTTTTTTTTTTTTTTTTTGAGACAGTATTTCTCTGTGTAGCCCTGACCTACAACTAGTTCTGTAGACCAGGCTACCCTTGGGCTGAGATTTCCTTCCTGACTGCTGGGATTCAAGACATGGAAGACCACACCCAGCTGCAACTTTTTGCCATCATATTTTAGCACTTTTATCTAAATCACAATGAATGGCTGGCTGTACGGTGTTCATTTACATTATTGTTAATGTTTTTTGGGTATTCCCACCAGTTGCTTCCCAATATATGTCCATCCTAAAAAAAAATGATTTAAAAAAAAAAAAAATACGGCCTCATTTGTATTTTTGCATATAGCCAAAACTTGTGTGCCTATCTCTTCCTAAATATTTGTTAGGTTGATGACTCTCTAACGCTCACTTATGACTATTGCATATAGGAGGGGGTTTGTAAGTCCTTCCTCCAGAAGAGCATCTGAATCACAGCCAGAAAGAATATTGTTCTAAAGCATTTCTTCACGAAAAGCATCTCTTGGGCTTTTGTAGCACCCATTAATTGGATCCCATCATAGCAGCAACAATCTTTCCTTCCTTTTTTTTATTATTTAATTTACTTTTTCTTTACTTTTAATAACACTTATTGACAGGACACACATACCATTGGGCATGTGAGGAGATCAAAGGGCAACTGATGAGATTTGGTTTTCTCCTCCCACCACGTGGGTTGTGTGATACAAACTTGGTTCCATAGGCTTAGTGACAAGCAACTTCACCCGCTGAGTCACCTCTCTGGCCTTTATTGTCTATGTTTAACCTGTACAGACGGCTGATGACATATTTGTTAGTCTATTAAGAGTAGTAGCATTATTTATTTGAGAATAGCACATACCAGGGATGTGCAATCTGTGAGTGTATCCAAAGTGTAACGGGCTTTCTTTTGAGACACCAACCAGCTCCCAAGTCATGATACATAGTCTTCTTATTAGTTATGAAAGTTCAGCCTTATCTTATACTTGTTTCTTGCTAGCTAAGACAACTTAATTTAACCTGTTTCTCTTCGTCGATGTTTTGCCTTAGTGCTTTTTACCTTTGTCTGTCTATCTGTCTCTCTCTCCCTCTCTCTCTTTCTCTCCCCCCCCCCCAATCTCTCTGGCTCTATTGCAGGCTGGCTGGTGGCTGCCTGACTTCTGGCCACTGGCTTGTCCTTCTCTTTCTCCCCTTTCTCTTCTCTCTCTCCAGCCTAGATTTCTCCCACCAGCCCTGCCTCTATCTCCTACCTAGCTATTGGCTGTTCTGCTTTTTATTAAACCAATCTGTTGCCTTAGGCAGGCCAGGTAAAACAGCAACACATCTTTACATAATTAAACAAAGGCAGCATAAACAAATGTAACACACCCTCACCTGGTTAAAGTAATATTCCACAACATAAACAAATGTAATATATCTTTACATACTTAAAATAATATTCCAGAACACCAAAGGTTATGGCAAGGGAAAGTTTTTCAAGGCAAAAGTGAAGATTGCATATTTTGAAGCAATAATCCTTGTCTACAAGAATGATTAACAAGGTTGGTGCAAATCTCAGGTTAAATAGACAAGGTTTGCACAAGTATTTTTTGTGTAAGGTCACAGTGCCCTTTTGAAAGGTTGTGGTTCTGATAATCTTTTGTGATAGTTACTTTCAAGAAATCAATCATAAATGAGACCTTAATTATCTTTTTTATTGTTATGTGTGCATGCTGTAATATGCTTGTGGGGGGAGGGTCATAGAACAGTTTATGATGTTGGTTCTCTTCCTTCACCTTTACATGGACTCAAAAGATTGCATTTCAAGCACCGTTACCCACTGGCATCTCACTGTCCTTATTTTTTAGTTAGAATTGGATAAGAGTGCTGGGTGGTGGTGGCCCACACCTTTAATCTTAGCACTCAGGAGGCAGAGGTAGGTAGATCTCTGAGTTTAAGGCCAGCCTGATCTACAGAGTGAGTTCTAGGACAGTCAGGCCTACACAGAGAAACCCTGTCTTGGGGCGGGGCAGGTGGGGGGTGATTGAATCCAATAATTTTGATTCTGATGAAAATATAAATAGTGAAATGGATTACTACAATCAGATAGCATCCATTTCTAACCCAGAGTTCTCCATTGAAGTTGACATTGTAGTTTTATTACCAAGCTGCTCCACTTCTATCATTATACAGATTGCTTACTTACAGAAAAAATAGGACTCTGCTGTTGGCTTTGGTGCTTTGGTGGGTCTCAGTGCACAGTGTCACTAACCAGCACATTACTGATATCTGTCTTTCACTAATAATCACAGGCCTTCGTTGCCATGTCAAGAGATCAGATAAGCCATGACTTTGTTGGTTCCAGTCTCCTGGAGTCTCTTGACAGAGAATTTCTTTTGAGTTTCAGCAGCCTTCCACACTGCTGGAGAAGTTTCTAAGAGCAGTTCCCTACATGAAGGGGTCCTTCCTTCCCTCCCCTTCTCCCTCCCTCCTTTCCTTTCTTTCTTCTCCTTTTCTTCTTCTTGCAAACAACTGTTACTGATTAAATGTATTTTCATATGTTTCATACTTACTGTTTGGGTTGGCTTCGTTAATTCCAGTGAGTACTGGAAGAAGGGAAAGCCTGTAATTATGCATCTTTTTTCTAATAGTGCAGTGGATTTCCATTCCAATGTTACATGCTTATCAGCCACATATCCAGAAAAGAGATATACCACCATTCGCTTAACCCAATTTTAATTTTTATTCCTTTCACAGCAGTATCTTTACAGCTCTGAGTTAGTTTGTCCTTCCTAAGAGACTCATTAGCAGACCTAGATAGGACTCTGCTCCTGTGTCTGGTAGACTGAAAGGAGTTTGTTCTCTACCTCAGGGGTTTTCATCCACATATTTGTAAGAGGTCTTGAGTTCCTTACCAGAATTTGAGTCAAAAAGCCCTGGCCTTCAGAATTTCTTCCATTTCCACATTAATACTCAAAACCAGGCATAGACACCCTTGAGTCGTTCTCTTTGTAAATTCCTTTGAGTTCAGGTAAAATTGAGTGTATCTCTATCTGCCTTGGGATTTTTGTACCTGAAGAGCTTGATGACAGGCAGATGACAACATCCTATACCTTCCTTTAAAAGTCAAGTTTTAATGTTGTTTTTGCATCATCTATGGTAGAAACTCTACACCCCATTGGCAACTTCTCCTTTCCTCCCTCTTTCAACTTCCATTTCACAGTCTGTCTCTCAATTTGTCTATTCCAGCTGCTACTTATAAGTAGAATCATAAAACATTTGCCTTTGCCTGAGCAGGTCATTTCACCTAGCTAGCATAATGTTTTCAGCACATCAGAATTTGCTTTTTATAGCTAAGTAGTATCCTATTGTGTATATACATACATGTATATG